AGTTATTAGCTAATAAAAAATACTCAATAAAATATTCATAATATCTATTAAAAGTTCATTATATCAATGAATTTAAAGTCAGTAAATGTCATTCATTGACATTATGAATAACATTTTTTTCAGTGTATACATGTTAGTTTCATTTTTAATTCTGGTTTATAGGCATTGACAGTATTACATTTTTTTGCATATGGTAGTTATCAAACAGATATAGGACAAAATTTGTATGTTGCTATAAGTCAAGCATCTTTATCTAGATGTATTAATGAAGTAGTAGATGCATTAAATCAGGCAGATATAATGAACCAGTGGATTAAATTTCCCAGAATTTTAAATGAATTAAAATATTTAAGACAACAGTTAGTACATTTAATTCTTTAATAATATAATATTAAATATATATTTTAATATTAATTTATATATAATATTTTTTTTCTAAACTACTATAATAAGACATTATAATACATTTCTAGATTTTATGATAGCCATAGATTTCCTGGAGTAATTAGATGCATAGATTGCACTCATGTAGCTATTTTTCCACCAAAGATTCGTGATGCTATAAATCCTGAACATTTATACGTTAATAGAAAAGGATATCATTCCATAAATGTACAATTGGTAAGTGTATAATTGTTGTTCTTTTTAAGATTAGAATTGTTATTATATCATTTGTATTAATATTATATATAATTTTTTAACTCAGGTATGTGATTGACGTTTAAAAATATTAAATATAAATGCTCGCTACCCTGGAAGCACACACAATACATACATATGGAATAATTCTAATTTAAAAGTAGGAATGGAAAGAATCAACAGATAGTGGTCAAATATGACATTTTTCCTTCTAGGTATAAACACATTATATTATATATAGTATAGTATATACATATATGAGGTATTTTTTTAAATATCGCCCATTGAAATATAAAAAAAAATATTTTTGTATATTTTGACTCAATTTTTGATCAAGAATAGCGCTACACGATAAATGGACATTTAAGAAACATTCTATATTATATTAATATTTTAGAAATATATATGTGGTTGAAGTTTGGAGCGAAAAGTAAAGGTGACTACACATAGAAATAACAGACAATGGAAAATCACGCATATATACATGTGTCCAAAAATTTGCAATGTACGTCCAGTTTCAAACGAAGATCGCGGTCCGCTCGAAAATTTCCTACGCTTGCCCC